ACCAGGCCAAGTAAAAGAAGGCAGGCAGTATACACATTAGCCCTTGAGAAAGAGTCCTTTCCCGACCAGCCTTGCTAAAGTAAGGTTGGTCTAAAGTAACCCTCAGTTATTCTCACTTTCAATACCCTGTGCATGTTCTTCATACCACAAGCTAATAATGTATTTCTTATTAATTTGTTATGATCTAACTGTACTTATGTGCAAAACTCAGGTATACAACTACATTATTTAAACCTATCTGGCTTATGAAAAACAGTGTTACATAGCTTATCAAAATAATTCCAATAAAATAATAATAATAACTCAAATGAAATCATTTAATCACATTCCTAAGACTCATAAGTAAAATAACTATAATTTGGTCAAAAGTAAAATGCTCCCTAATGTGAACCTCAAGGAGGCAGAGAAACCCTGCTAGGCCCACATATACAGGGCCCTAGCAGTCATAAAGAACAACGTCTGTGACTCAGATCTTCCCTTTCCTCATTCAAGGAAAGCACCTCTTCCCTTCAGTGATGAAATTTGGTGCCCAGTAAAGTAAGCTCTCGTATTTGCCCATTTGGTAGAAGTCAGTATTTCTCAGAATACCATTCTTGGCCTTTTCTTGTCATTTTCTGTATTCTCCCCAGAACCCCCTACATCTATAACAGTTTCCACCACCATCTTCATGATGACTCCAAAATCATTACACCCACTCACACCTTTTGATTTCAAATAAGCTATTTTCTCTAAAAAACAATGATAGGACCCACATCATGCCAAGACCCAGGGAATCAAACTCTCCCCTCTTTTTCTCTGCACTGCACCTTCCATGCCTGACAGGCAAGCCCTGTTGATGTCATCTCCTTAATACTTCTATGTTTTTGCTGTCTTGCCATTTTCTCTTCTAGCCAAACGTATCTAACATTTAGTTCACTGACAAAAGTAACTAAAGACTTCAGTTTGGAGTTTGCACTAATATACAGAAAAACGACAAAGTTTATACATAAACTAATCTATCTTAGCAGCATCGAATTCAGTGAAAAGTTCTTTCCTTCAAGTTAATAAAAAATATCTGACACTTACTTAAATGGTGTAAACAAAAACGGTAAAGTAACTTCTTTTTTCTGAGTCATTTTTACCTGGGAACAAAGCATGAAAATGTTTTATTATAAATGAAAAAAAAATGAATTTCATCCTGGAATATAAATAACCATTAATGGCTCTTCAAGGATGATTAAATTCTTTGAAAATAAATGGAATTTTATGTTGCTACATAGTCTCATAAATAAAGAAAAATTTAACAATGTCTTATTATCTCAGTAAGCTGAGAATTGAGCATATCAATCCTGCAAAATAGCATACTGTAATATAATTATACAACTATTCCTTAACTCTTTGAAAATGAAATAAAGCAAAGTTTCTTAGGGTACCTAATAATGTACAGGGAACATGAAGAAATGCAGCAATCTCTAAGATACTTCCACGGGACAAATTCCAATAAACAAGGACTTGACTTGCCATCTTGATAAGCACATACAGTAATCTTCTAACTAGGGACATTCCCCAGAGGCAATTCTACACCTTCTAACTGACCCATAAAACCTACATTTCAGAAATGTAAAACTTTATCACATTAGGTAACTATTCAAACCTAAAATAATAAACTATGGGAAATTATTTATCAAAAATACAAAATCTAGGGGCTGGAGCAACGACTTAGTATGAAGAGCACTTGTTGCTCTTCAGTGGACGTGCCTTCAATTCCCAGAACCCCTATCAGGTGGTTCACAGTCACCTGTAACTCCAACTCCAGGAGTTCCTACATGTTTTCTGTTCTCCATAGGTACCTGCAATTATGTGGCAGACATACACACATACACATAATTAAAAATAAAGTCTTTTTAAAAATACAAAATCAATTATTTTTATTTGATATATTCAGTTTTTAAATTATAGTACTGTGCATTTGCTTATTTATTTATTTATTTATTTTTTTACCTTGAACTGTTCAAGAATCTGTACAGCATTGGTAAACATGCTCTCTGCTTTGAAAAGATCAGTGTTGTTAAGGTAATTCACAGGAAGGGTTCCCTGAAAATTAAAAAAAAAAAAAAACAACCCAAAACACTGGCTTAATAACAGTGTTAATAAAGATAATGGTGTTTTGATTTAAAAACAAAAGCAAACCTATAAACCCAACATTTGGGAGGCCAAGGTGAGAAGATGGCAAGTTCCAGGCCAGCCTGGGCTACACAACAAGATTCTATCTCAAGAAACAAATAAAACAAAAAAGATAGGCAAATAAATTACTGGATTAATTGCAATTTTTTTGAAAACCATAACTGAAAGATGTTCTAAAATCTCTCATGAGGCAGATATAATAAGGTAAATAAATAAATGAGATGAATTAAAGTCAATTAAAATCTAATACTGATTGACTACTACTATGGCTTGTACCCATTTGTTCTCTAAGGGTACATGAGTAAAGGCTTGGCCCCCGACCTGGTGTTATTAGGAGGTGATAGAAGAATCAAGAAGTGAGGCCTGGTGGGAAAACAAAAATTTGAGAGACAGGGCCTTTGGGTCCTCATATGAGACTGTGGCACCTTGGTTTTTTTGTTTCTTTTTCATGAGGTAAATGGTTTTTCTCTACCACATACTCTTGCCATAATGTGTCACCATGGACTGACCATCCAACATTGTGAGCCAAAATCAAACCTTTTGTTTGTGTAAGTTGCTTCTCTCAAGTATTTGTTATAGTGATAGAATGCTAACGAACACAACAGTTACTCTATGTTGAGCATATCACTATATGCTTAATGAACTAAGTATATTATACATAAAAAACAATCATGTGGCAGGCCACAGCTAGAATGTATTTTTTAAGACATAATAAGACACATAAGGATATACTCTACTGTATATTTTAAGAGCAAAGATTATTTTACGAAACTTTATTTCACTTATATACATACAAATGTACTTATAGCTGTTGAGATATTACCTAAACTTTTGAATTATATGCCTTTTTTAAAAGTAAATTTGAGTTTGAAGCCCTAGTAAGTGTGGTTGGTTGTAATGAGTACTTTATTACATGGGTTTCTGGCATCAGGATCCTTTCTTAACAGCATTGCCATTTCCTGTTGAGGATATTCTCCACTGGATACAACATGATGAACTGTAATCAGGGGCCCTCTCCTCCTTTACGGAAGGATAGGCAGTAACCCAAGTCAGACAATCTGTAATTTGATTCTTAGGAGTCAGAGCAAAAACTATAATACTATTCCACCCTAGGCCTTGAGCAACACAGGTATGCCGTGGGACCATGGTTGTATTAACTCTCCAGAACTCTCTTGGTTCCTGTTCACTTCCAAACCTGATTTTCAAGCATCCATGTGATCCAGCAAACCATCAATCTTTTCAATAAGAATTTCCCTTCTAAAAGGACTGTTGCTTATAATCAAAAAGTTACTTATATACTTTCATCACTTGTTACTAGAGAACTAAAATTCATATATATATTTCAGGAAATAAAACATTTTAAAGACAAGTTTTTCTCTGTGTTATATAATATACACTCAATTACAGAGTAGTTACATATTTAAATATTGGTATGCAGAAATACAGTTTTAAATATAATTAAAATTTTAAAATATGAAGTAAAATTTATTTTTATACAGACTATTGGTTATAAATTTCATTACTTACCACTGAATTAAGAGGAAAGGGAACACCAATAAGGGAAGCCATCAAGGGTGCAATATCAGCCTACAAATACAATTGTTTAATTCTAGTAAGTCTACAAGTGTCAACAAAGAAATTAAGTAATTTCATCCAACTATATATGTGAGACTGATGCATTGCCTACTGTGCTAAAGAGGCAGATTCATCCAACTGTAGTTTAGATTGTAACCATATTTGTTATGATCAATCACCTTTAAACATTTATTTTATATATATCAACATCTAAAAATGGCATTTGATAGAAATGTGTGAATTTATGAAAAATATATTTGAAAAGCAACCATTAAAAGTCATCAATACAAAACTGGGCATGGTGGCACATGCCTTTAATCCCAGCATTTGGGGAGCAGAGGCAGGTGGACTTTGTGAGTTCGAAGCCAGCCTGGTCTACACAGTGAGTTCCAGGACAGCTGGGGTTACAGGGAGACCCTGTCTCAAAAATGCCAAAAAAAAAAAAAAAAAAAGATAAATAAATTTAAGAAAAGGAGAGAACTTGACCATTTATGTAAGTTTTTCAGTATTATAAGAATGCATAATAGTAAAAGAATTAAGTATCCGTAGTAGACTTTATCTGGAGAAATGTGAATGTCACCTAAAAAAATAACCTTATCAGAAGCAGGTTCGGCCAACCAATGAAGCAAGGGAAGCCCCCCCACACCCCACGCCCCATGCCACTTTGGGTATTTCGTTTTGAAGTCTACCTTCTCAGAGAGTTGTTTATGCCATTTCTCACCATCATTCCTTAGTATACTGTAATTTGCTTTGCCCTCCTGTCATCAAGGAACTGCTCTTGAATGATCTAACAACCTCTACTTTTCTAACTCTAACTGGCTGTGTTTATCAGTCCTCATAATTTGTCAAGCAGTCAAATCTTCAGAAGTCAGAAGGCCCAGCTTTAAATCCTTGTTTGCTATCTCCAAAGCCTTTGGCAGATTTCCAAACTTCTCCAATGCCTCAGTTTCCTTATTAGCTAAAAAAAATATATAAATTTCTCCCTTACAAAGTAATAGCAGGATTAAACGAGTGAAACTTACAACATACCCAGCATACAGTAAGCTGCAACTGCTGCTATCACCAAACTTGTCAGCAGCCCTGGGGTCAATCTGGCTCTTCTTGGCCACATTAACACATGCTGCTGAGCTTCTTCCATTTCACTAGTGCTCCTTTAAGTGCCTTCTCTGTTCTTCACTTAATGTGGGATTTTGTCACATCTAGACTTAGGTTCGTGCCATCCCCTAGAAAGCTGATGCTCTCCAAGGCCTTCCTAAAGTCTCTTCTCTCCTGCTCTTCTCATCTACTCACCGGAAGGGCCTATGAAATACTGTTCCTATGGCTTAAAAAATATGCTTGGTAAATCAAGCTGAACTTTGAGCATGTATGTCTGGAGAGCCTTGTATCTCATGAGAAAGTTTATGCAAGAATGCTTGCTAGGGAGTTATCTCTGGAATGCCAGTGCTCCCCTAGTTTCTCAGGAGACACTTTGATCTCCCAAGAAGGCATACTAGGGTGGTTATGTTATCTTGCTTATTATATTTTGCTATATTTTAGCCACTTTATCATTATTCACTGTTCGTAAACATTCAGCTGGAGCTCTAATGAGTACGAGAATAAAAGCAGAGCTGCCTGTGCTTTTGGCATTTGTATGCAAAGGAGCCATGCAGGTCCCCTAGTTAATTTTCAGTTCTGTAATAATCCATTCAAGGCCTGTGGCTGCACCCCAAGACAGCCACACTCATGCTGTAGTCAGACAAATTTTTACACAGGCACAGCCAGAGGGATTCTTCCGTGTGCATGCACGCGCGCGCACGCACACACACACAGGGTCATGTCACTCTCCAGGCTTCAAACACATCATGAGCTGCGCGCACACACACACACACACACACGCACACGCACACACACACACACAGGGTCATGTCACTCTCCAGGCTTCAAACACATCATGAGCTCTTCAGGTTTTTAGGATTAAGTCCACAATGCCTATCATGGCCTATAGGATCTCTGCCTGTTTCTGCCTCATATCACGAAGTTTCCGTGGCTCTGAGCACCTGCCTTTTTAACACCCACAACACATGAGGTGCCTTCAAACCTTCGCTTTGTGTTCACGCTGCTCCTTTGTGCTCATGTTGCTCCTGCCCCAGGAAAGTCCTCCTGCTACTGCTCTGGCCTCATTACTCCTGCTTGTCCTTCAACCCCAGCTCAGTTCTAAATTTTTTTTCAGGAAACTTTTGCTAACTACTGTTTACTGGATGCATACATTCTGTGTTCTCATGACTTTACAGATCTCTTTTTGTAGCATTTATTATATTTCTAATTTCACATTTATTTATATAATACTTTGATTAGTATCCAGTCTCACCTCTGCAGTATGAGCTTCCCAGGTCAGAGATTGTGTTTTGCTTTTGCTCACCATTCTATCCTTAGTACACAGCACAAAGTTTAACACACAGTGGGCATATAACAGTGTTTGTTGGAGGAATGAATACAAAGATTTTCATCTAATACATACCAGAACCAGAAGTAGTAGGCAACAGGCTGGGTACTCAGGGAGCAAAGTCTATGCTTAGTATCTGACTATGATCTGCTTTGACTATGCATAAAAGATGTTTTTGTTTTATGGTCTTCAAGTCATTTCTTGTGGGAAGCGAGCACAGCTGAGCCAGCCAAAGATGGCGCCCTGGCTGGCTGCCAAACCTCGTGCTGTTTACTCCAACTCTTGGCTGATTGCCAAGGCTCGTGATTCCCGCTTGTTTACTCCAAAGTATGGAGAGGCCAAACAGGTGCTGCCAGCCTGATGATCTTGCTACGTGGCTAACGAGCTGCACTCTGCCTGGCCGCTGCACGTGTGTGAGCCCTGATTGGTCCCGGCTGGGGGGAGGGCTGTTGGGAACGCTATATAAAGAGCTGAAGTGTGTAATAGAGGAAGAATAAAGAGAGAATATAAGAGAGAATAAAGAGAGAATAAAGAGAGAGAGTGAGAAGAGAAAGCCTGAACCTCACCTTGGTGTTTGTGTCATCTTTCCTGGGCTCTGCTGGACAGAGTCCTGGCTCGTGACAGAAATATACCTCAACATAATTAAAGCTATATACAACAACCCATAGCCAACATCATCCTAAAAGGAGAAAAACTGGAAGCATTCCCATTAAAATCAGGAACCAGGCAGGGCTGTCTACTATTCCCCTCCTTTTCACGAGGTTGAGGTTCCCTGAAAGGGACGAGGTTGAGGTTCCCTGAAAGGGACGAGGTTGAGGTTCCCTGAAAGGGACGAGGTTGAGGTTCCCTGAAAGGGACGAGGTTGAGGTTCCCTGAAAGGGACGAGGTTGAGGTTCCCTGAAAGGGACGAGGTTGAGGTTCCCTGAAAGGGACGAGGTTGAGGTTCCCTGAAAGGGACGAGGTTGAGGCTCCCTAAAAGGGACGAGGTGAAGCAACTCAGAGAAAATGGGTACTGGCGGCTCGAAAGCGAAAGTGCACATTGCGCTAGTGCAGCTTTTAAGGCGTGGCAGGATTAAGTTAAAGGCTGAGACGGTGGAAAAATTCTTGGATACCTTCGCAGCAGAGGTCCCGTTGTTTCTTGAGGAGGGGTCTGTAGCTGTTGCCTCTTGGGAGCGATTAGGAAAAGAGTTATCAGACAAAGATGCGAAAAAACCCCTCCCTAGAGGTACTCTAGCTATTTGGACTTTGGTACGGACATGTTTAGCGGATAAAACAGGGAAGTATGAGGCAGATATAGCTCAAGGAGCTCAGGCTTTAGAAGAAGCAAGAGAGGAAGCGTCTCAACTTAGTGCGTGTTGTGCTTCTTCTGAAGTAGAGGAGGAAGGATATGATTCTGAGGATTTAGACAGCATTATGGAACAGCTGAGAATTACTGACAATAAAAAGAAAAGGAAAAAGGAAAAGGTTGAGCCTAGTGCTCCTCCTTGGGACAGAGACTGTCCGGAAGCCATGCCCTCCATAGAGGGGAGCCATCGCACGCTTAATGTGGGCATATGGTGCCATCTCGTGTCTAGTTATGGAGCTTTCCCAGTGTTTGATGATCAGAACAATCAAAGATATCATGAACCCCTGGACTGGAAAGTAATTCAGAGGTTGAAAGAATCTGTGGCTACTTATGGGATACAAGCAGCTTATACTATAACTCAGGTTGAAAGCCTTACTAGATGTGCTATGACTCCTTTTGATTGGCAAAATCTCTGTAGGGCTGTTCTTTCAGTGGGCGAGTATTTAAATTGGAAACCTGCTTACCTGGAATATTGTGTAGAGCTAGCAGCTGCTAATGCGGCCAATGGCCAGCCTGCATGGAATGTGGATATGCTTATGGGGCAAGGGGTTTTTATTAACAATCAGATTGGATATCCAGAGCAAGTATATTCTCAGATTAATGATGCAGCCCTTAAGGCGTGGAAGATGCTGACGGGCTCAGGTAACTTTAATGACAGTCTCTCAAAGGTCCTTCAGGGACCAAATGAACCCTTTGCTGATTTTCTAGCTCGAATGATGGAAACTGCAGGAAGGGTGTTTCCAAATGTGGATTCAGCCATGCCATTGATCAAGCAGTTGGCATACGAGCAGGCTAATAAACCCTGTAGAGATGCCATCAGACCTCATAAGAATAGAACCTTAGATGTGTGGATTAAAATATGCAGAGATATTAATGAGCACTCCATTCAAGGGCAAGCCTTGGCAGCTGCAATAGTTGCAGGTCTGAGGGGTAAACACCCATCAATATCAAGTAGCCGACCTAAGCAACAGCCCGGCTGTTTGTAATGATATGTGGGCTGTTGCAGCCACCAGTGCTACTGGCAGGTTTGACAACCATCTCCCTGCTGATCCTCT